GGGACGAGAACGAGGATTGATTTGCCCCAAACCCTCCAAGCGAGGACGACGACTCCCCCGCACACAAATGAACGTCGTATCGTTAGTTGCCACATACTCAAACTCGGCCAGGAACTCAACGTCGTTCGAGAACGTGTAGTAGCGTTGTGTATTAACAGCCCTTAATGATTACTTGACCAGTACTTTATGATTCATCTGAAGAATCGCCGCCTCTTAGCGTATGTATCCACCCGTCAGCATCGGCCTTCCTACTTGACTGATCAGCGGTGCGCAAGTCCAGTAGGCATAGATACAGCTCACTTCGAGGATTTAATACCTGTCTTGGTATCATGCACCGCAAAACTGGATGACGATGTCCCATTCACCACCCCGCGCTGAATTTTACCAGGTCGGGGCGTCTCCTGCGTGTCAACCATTCCCAATGTCCCGTCGCTCAAATCAACATCGCTTGCATGTGGAGTACTACTAGAAACCTTTGCTTTCAGCCGTGGGCGGGGACGAGAGGACCTCGAGGGTACGTCCGAGCCACTCAAGATTTCGATGCTCGGCTCACGGCTAGTAACTGATGGTGTCTTGCTCCTCTGCGTCTGACGCGAGGCACCGCCGGTCTTGCTTGCAGGCTTCGCTCTGACCTTCCGGGACCGCGACTTGGTCGAGGCGATGCTGATGTCCGAGTCGCTCTCGCTGTCGACGATGGGTTTTGCGCGTTCAGCGCAAGCGCGCCGCGGACGAGTACTTTCGACGCTTGACGCCCGGCTCAACCGACCTGCGCCCGCATCGCCCAGCTCATCTTCAGGAAAAGTGCTCCATAGCGCTACGTCCTCATCTTGCTCGTCCTGTCGTTCTATCTCCTTGCGTCGGGCAGCGGCGCGCGCCTTAACAATCGCTTCTGAGGCGACGTTGCCTTCCGTATGATCATCCGGGAACATGGCTACGCCGTACTGCGCGCTGTCGCGAAGCGTCTTCAGAGCTTCCGTACGAGACTGGTGCATGTCTTCCATCAAGAGAAGTAGGGCAGCTTCTGGAACCAGGATGTGCTGTATAAATTCGATCGGCGTTAGAGGGAGCGTTGAGTTTGGCGGGAAGTCGACAGGGGGAAAGAGGTCGTAGATAGTCTGGCTCATTATCACAGAGCCAAGCTCACCATAGCTGATATGACACGCATACATGAGTGTCTCTATAGGACGAAAGACAGAGACTTACTATCCGGGCTGAGTCTTGGCGAAGCTCGTCATCTGGCTGCGAACGCCTGCTGCCTTCCGAGCACCCCTCTTCTTCACGCTCCTGACTACTTCTCTCCAGAACGCGCTTCCCTTCCTCGGTCTGCTCATCAATAGATCCTCGTCGTCCTTAGCATCGGCGCTTAAATCTTCAGCACCGTCATTGCCGTCCGTAGATCGTTCTTGGCCGGGCAAGAACTCCTCGTCCATATCGTCCACAATTCTCCGAAAATGCTCTTCAAGACGCCGAACGCGCTCCGCGAGCTTGCTCCATTCAACGTACGTCGGCCAGCCGCGCTTTTTTGCGAGTGGGATTTGATGGCTCTCGAAGCGATGGCGCTGGCACACATTGACAAATACTGTAGGTTCTGCGCGCAGACCAAGAGGGTTGGTAGGTCGCGAATCTGAATGTGAGCGTGCGCGCGCGATGGACATGAGGTGCTGCAAGTGTGGCGAGGGCTCGGGCGGCAGAAGCTCGTCGCACCAGGAGCATAGGCGTGCGGGGTCGAAGTCGGGGTCGTCCCATGCTGCGCATAGAATCATTTATTAGCGGCACGGCGCTACAAAGAGAGCTGGACACACGGATATCATCATCTTCGTCTGACATGCCATCCGAGTGCATGAGCTCGCGAAGGCTGGCGCATATATGCGGTCAGATCGAAGCAATACAAGCGAAGGATGAGGCATACATCTCGTCGGCGCCGCGAGCACGCTTCTTCCCCCTCCGCCCGGTGCTGCCGCCACTGCCTTCGGCGTCCGATGATCCTCTCTTCGCTGGCGGGCTCCCGATGCTTTCCAGCACCTGCGTGGCCATAGGAAAAGGTCGAGCATTGGATGTCTTAAAGTCTTAGATCTCCTACGCGGCGGTGGCAAATCGGGCTCTGAGTCAGATTCTAAGAAAGAAATCTCGATACGACCCTTCGTCTTATTAGAACCGCGTTGCGACCACTGTGAGTTCTCTACAGAGCTCGAACTCGGCGGCTGCTTCGCGGGCGATGATAGTGGGGACAGCTCTGGAAAGCTCTGTACAGGGCGAAATTTCTGAGAGGGACGTGAGGATGAACGGGCAGTCCGTTGCTTCTCGCCATTGGCATTCTCGCCCTTGGAAGGCGGTGGATTGTCCAGCGGGAACGGGCGCGGCTCCTTTCGCTCATTGCTCGTCTCCTTAAGTGGGGAGAGCTGATCGATGGGACAGTCGCGTTCGCTGTAGTGCATGCCGTCCGAGTGCTTCGGTGGGGACATATCAGCCATTGGCCAGCTCTCCCATTCCCTCGCGTTGCCCTTGCCTTTCTCGTCCCCTTTCTCCGACACGGCCTCAGCTTCAGAGTTGAAAGGAACGAAGGCTTCGATCGCGGAAAGTACACCCCAAGAGAGAGTATCCTCCGCCTTCTTGACGGGCTTCGGCCTAGGCCTGGGTCTTAGTGGTTTCGGTGTTTGGTCAATGTCTGGCTCATCGCAAGAAGCGACAGGCGATCCACTCCTACTCCTGGTCCTTGTCCTGGGTGGGCCAGACGTACTGGCAGGTATCTTGTCTTTATTCACAAAGCTCGGGACTCGGAAAGCTTTGTGTAGGGTGTCGTCTTGCTTGGTCCTGAATGTCGACCGAGTTGTGCTCGAGCTGGAGTAAAGAGTTTTCCGAGGCTCCGAGCTATTCTCTGTAGTAACAGACGAACTAGACGCGGTTCCTTCTTCGGGACTTTTGGTCTTCGTGAACTTCATACCCTGAAACTTTAGCTTCCCGTCAATTTGGTAGTCGGGATGAGGCTTGTGCTTCACGCCGTCTATCACAAACGCGACAGTGCTCCCTGGTAGGTCTTGACTTGACATCTTATTGGCCGCTGCGCGAGAGCCTCGTGGCTCTTTCGAACCCTGCCGCGAGCGCGACTTCGGCTGGAGCAGCAGCTCGTCATCTGAGTCCGAGAGTTCGATGCATTCGACATCGAAAGAGTCTTCTAGGCTAGGCTTCCGTCGTGGCTGAGTGCGAGTACCAATCATTGAAGAGACCTGCTTGACGCTTGGGCCAAAGCTGGCCCCGACGGCTGGGTCAGTCCTCGGCGGCGGCGGCGCCTTCATGCGTGTCTCGCGATCGTTTGCAAGATTTGTTCCCCTGCGGCGCATTTCGCCGCGCTGTTGTTCCATGTCTATAATATCTGCATCCAGGAATTTTCGTGAACAGAAGTCGAAGAGCTCGTGTCGTCGAAGGATGGTGGTTGTCGAGACTCGAAAGACACACCGGCAGCGCGACTTTCGAGTTTCAAATGACCGTGTCAGTCCCGTGACTTTGGCGCGCAAATCCCGACCGACGTATCGCTTGCCAGCGGGTCTGGAACAAAAACCACCGTCGGGAGCTCCGCATTTCACAATTAAGGAGGTAATTGCTCATACTATTAACTTACATGCTCTTCATGGTCGATACAAGCTGCTTCCTTGCCCACGATATTAACCTACAGCTCCTTCATATGGTCGATAGTAAGTACAAGCTGCTTCGTTATGCCACTATACAGCTAAATATACATTAATACTAGTGAGGCATGTGGTATACAGTACTACGAGCTCTAAAGTTAAATGTCGTGTGCGCAAATAAGTCCTTAAATAGTC